AGAAACAATATATAAAGAAATTAAATTGATATTTTAAATAAATACAAAACAAATAAAATACCTTCTTCAATATGTCCTGAATTGATTTGCAGCTGAGAAAATGGAGAGAACGGAGAGAGAGAGGGGCAGAAGAAGGCTTTGCACGACGAAGGCTTAATTCGTCGCTCAAATAAATAAGTCGCGCAAATTCCACTTCAGTGACGCGCAAAGTCGTGCCGACATCACATCTTTGCACGACGAACACATTTTTTCGTCGCACAAGCCAAAATCCGTCGCGCAAAATCGACATGCTTGGCGCGCAAAGACGTGCCGACATCACACCTTTGCGCGATGCCAAAATCGTTTCGTCGCACATGATATTAGTCGCGCAATAGAGAATTTCCGTCGCGCAAAAGTCCAGTTTGACACGCACGCAGCCACGATAGCCTCCTTGCGCGACTAATTTTCTTTTCGTCGCGCAAAGTTGTGGCGCGAAACACCTGGAACACTGTTTGTTTTCCCGCTATTTATTGTGCGCGACGTATGGATTTTTTGGTCGTGCTAAACATCATAGGGCGACGAATACATCGTCGTCGTGCAAATAGTTGTCGCGCAACATCATATGGCGACGAATACATCGTCGTCGCGCAAATAGTTGTCGTGCAAACGTGTTCATTTATAACATTTGAATATTTTGTCCCATTTCTAGATCTCTGAATATTTGTTATTTGCGATTTTTGGGGTATACAATCTCACAGTATATACAAACACGTTTAACGGTTGGATCGTTGAAATTAGTTTTGTAGAGTTGAATGAACACTTTTTAGTTTCAAAACATATTTCGCGCTGTTCTCTTCGTAGGGAAATTGATAACCCTGAAATTTATTCGTATGGAGGTTGATAACCATACAAAAAGATTCTCCTCTACCATTCTCATAATTAAAAGGGTATGAATAATGATCTTCACTAAAAATCAATGAAAAACATATGATTTAGATGGCAAAATTAAAATTAAGGCTTAGGATTAATGGTTTTGTATATCGTACCTTGCGCGACGGATAGTGTTTTGTCGCGCAAAGATTTCATATGCGACGAGTTTAGTCGTCGCGCAAGAATTAGGCGCCAGAATATTTGTTCGCGGTTTTTTCCCCTTGTTTTACGCGACGGTCGTTTTTTCTGTCGCGCGAAGTTGTTTTGTGCGATGAAATTTATTGGTCGCTCTACTTTGCGCTACGCATATGATTGTTCGTCGCCTGATGATCTTTTATGCGACGAAATTTCTTCGTCGCTCTAGGCTGCGCTACGCATATGGTTGTCCGTCGCGCGATGATCTTTTATGCGACGAAAGTTCTTCGTCGCTCTAGTTTGCGCTACGCATATGATTGTCCGTCGCGCGATGATCTTTTATGCGACGATTTGTCCTTCGTCGCGCAAATAGAAAAACGTAGTAGTGTAACTCAAAAAAATGGACAATGAAAGGCTTGATTCACCGCGGTTCAATAATCAACAAGCCCGAACAAGCCTTCGAACGGAAAAAGATCCCACCAACTATTAGAATGGATTTGAAATGACCGTATGCAAAGAGTCACTCATTTTCTTTATTTCCATCTCATTCAATTCTTGGCATACATAAACAATTTAACTTTAGAATATCATCCAAATTCCCGAGATAACTTTAGAGGACATGTCACTAGCATTGTCTGAACTCAATAAACCTCAACCGATGTGTAAAATACAAAGCTTGAATAAGACATAAAATTAAAAGGAAACCTCAATAGACGCATCACACCTCTCTCAAGGCATAGCTTGTGGCATTAATGAAGAAATTATCAATCCAGATGTGATAACGCAGTGGAATTTCCATGGAAGAGAAGGTGTTATTTACGCACATAGGCATTTGTAGTTCTCACAAAGTGTTATGTTTTACTTGTCAATTGAAAATGCCAAAAATCATACAACTTATGCAGCGCTTCAAACCACTTTTTTTTTGTTTTTTCTCTACGTATGCATCAAACCTCCTTCCTCTGATATTCATATAATATTCCACAGCCGGTTAGGCCTAACCACAGCGCCCAGCCGTTGGATCAATCTGAAAAAGAAAATCCAAAGGTAAATTGTCATATGCTATGCACTAACCGAAGAAAAATCGAAAACTACAGTCTTCCCCGCTTTTTTTCTTTTTGGTACATTTTAGTCCCCGATTTTCCTTCACGGCTGGGCTGGTCAGTGGTCACCTAGCCCAAAGCCTCGCCAAGCAGCCGTCTTCAAAAGCTTTTGTCGGGGTTTTGGGTCTCTCAATCGAGATCGAACCCAACGCGGAGACAAAATGGTTCCTCGTTAGAGTGCATAGCAATGAAATTCAAAATGCATTGAAATCTCAGGTTTTTTTCTTTTTCTTTCTCCTTCATTTCTCTTGAATTCAGTTTTCGCTGAATCGAATTCCTGGTTGTTCTCTGAATTTTCAACTCCATGGAAGTACAAACCACCCCGAAACTGAAAAACCTCCAAAACCCAGCAAGCCCATTACAGAGCTATGTTGGTTTTTGGCCGCAGCCGCTTGCGTAAAGCTGCTTCTAATCCCAGCCTACAAAAGCAGAGACTTTGAGGTCCATTGCCACTGGCTTGCTATAACCCACTCTCTGCCTCTCTCTCAATGCTACTTTGACGAGACCAGCCCTGGGACCCTTGACTACCCTCCATTCTTTGCCTACTTTGAGCGCTTCCTATCCATTTTTGCCAATCTCATTGACCCACAAATTGTTCACCTCCAAAAGGGCTTGAATTACAGCTTAAACACAGTGCTTTATTTCCAAAGAATCTCTGATATCTTCTCGGATTTGTGTCTTTTGTATGGGGTTTATAGATTGACTAGAAAGTTGGATTCAACGAGGCAAAAACTGATCTGGGTACTGGTGGTTTGGTCTCCAATGCTTGTGATTGTGGACCATTTGCATTTTCAGTACAATGGACTTTTCCTTGGGATTTTGTTGATTTCGCTTTCTTATTTGGAGGAAGGGAGGGACTTGATTGGTGGACTAGTTTTTGCTGTGTTGTAGTTCTTTTCTAGCTACTTTTTTTATGACTGAAGTGCTGCTTTGCTTTAGCTTATTTTTTATACTGTTGTAGTGGAATAATTGTGATCAGTAATGTTAAAAAAACAGAGATTTCATTGAAAGAATGCTGACAGGCAGTGAATAGGATTAATGTTAGAAGTTTTTCACATCATTTCTGAAAGAGAAAAATGAATTCTTTCTGCTGTCAGAAATGCAGACAGATCAGATGTTTGAAGCAAAGCAGCTTGAAAAATTTGTTTAACTGAAACAGCTATGTGAGGTTTGGCAAGATAGAATATTAGAAATTGAATACTTGTGCCCACGGTTCTCATTAAATAATCAACCATTATACAATGGTTCAGGATATCATGAGCCATCTCTGTGTGTCCTAGAAGTTAGTTTCATTGATTAGGTTGATAAACTGAAACCTTCATTAGAGCAACTCCACCCATTTGCCCTTTGCCATGGCGGGGGGGGCTAGGGCAGCCACTATTCACGTCAATAGTTGCTGCCCTTGCAAAAGGTTGTGGTGTTTCCACCAATTGCCATGGCAACAACTATTCACATGAGATATGAGGAGAGAAATTTGTATAGAGTGTTGGCGTGGGAAGTGAAAACTACAACTAAGTATTTATTTTATAAAAAATCTGAAATTTTTTGTATTTTTTGTAGATTTTTTTCAATTTTTTTTGTTGCTGACGTCATCGATGACGTCAGCAAATTGGGGCTGGAAATAAGGCAGATCTTGCCTGAGGGCTAGCCTGGGTTTGTGGACTCCATCTCCTGCCAGGGCTAGCCCTTGCTGCTGGAAACAAGATTTTGGCCCAAACCCCCCCAAGCCCTCCCCTTAGGCGCATCGGTGGAATTGCTCTTATGGAATCAATGCTCACACCAAAGTAACAATCAAATAAGGCTACACAAGCTTTGTATCTTTTTCTACCTAAAAATTGGTTTGAGTGATTTAGTTAGACCTTTAGGAACATGAAATTTATGTTGGGGCAAAGACTTCTATTGTGATCGGTTCTGTATTTTCTTTTTTTTTTAATCAAGCAAAATTTATCATATCGATTACAATTCTGTCATATATTCTTTCAGAGCTAGCGACTGAATATTGTTCACTGGCAAAAGTTAACATTGTACATTTTAGATCATAAGGATTTACAGTTTAATTTGGGTTGTGTGAATGGAGAAGAATGGGAGGTGTTTTTAGGGAGAAAGGGGTGAGGAGGTGGAATACTTGTGCTATACCTATAGGGTTCAGTTTTGGGCATCCCTTGGGTAGTTCTTTTCTAGCTACTTTTTTTATGACTGAAGTGCTGCTTTGCTTTAGCTTATTTTTTATACTGTTGTAGTGGAATAATTGTGATCAGTAATGTTATTAGTTGTAGATCTCCCTGTATTGCAACTTTTGTCTTTCTTTAGCAGTGACGATCTTCTCAAATACTACACCATTTGAAGCTATTACAGTTTGCAACGTTAGTCTATTAACCGTGTATATCCTTCTCTTGACATTTCTTATTGATGATTTTGATTCTATAGGACGGAATGCCTTTTAAATTTCCCCTATTTTCTTCTGGCACTGGAAAGAAATTGACTGCTTTCACTTGTCAAGTTCTTTGCCCTTGTTTAAGATTCCTTGTGTGTTCTACATGAGATACAAAAATAAACTCTTTATATGAAAAAAAAAAAAAAAAAAACAAGTGCGGGCAATACTAAAATAAAATAGAAGTATTATGTGGCAAATGAGGGCAGTCATAATTGGCGAAACAGACTTGTTATACTAACAGACTGCACATGTTGGATTTTGTAAAAATCCTCTCCTCCTTCCTTAAGCCGGCTACAGAATTCAGGAAGCATCCTTTTGATGGTTAATTCCTTGAGGGTAGTAATATGTTGGAGCCCATCTGGAACTGCCTCCAAACGTAGGCAAAACTCAATGTGCAATCTGCAGAGACTAGTCATGGCTCCTTTCTCCACCTTCCATTCTTTGAACTCACTCAACCAATCAAGAGAAAGAAATTTGAGAAATGGAAAGCTTCCCTTTGAGCAAACAAGAGATGCCGGAAAATTCCCGAAATTAGCAAAAAGCATTCTCAAGCTTGGCAGCTTCTCTAATACTTTTATGTGGTTGTCCTTGAGATTACCAAATCCACTCAGTGTAAGCTTTGTGAGGTTCCTAAGGCACAGGAGGTCTTCTCGTAACTCTGTGATATGCCCGAGTAGTCGCAACTTGTATATCTTAGGACAGCTTAATACGATGTTCCATGGTACAACACCCTTGGAAGCAGAGCGCACCGATAGAGAGTGGAGATGCTTAAATATGATGTTTGTCCCTTTCTCCTTTTTTTCCCCTCCGTCAAATGTGATAACTCCCAATTTTCTAAGGTTGGTTAATTTAACAAAATCATCTGGATCTGATGATGCTGGAATACCCATATTGACTACCGTGTGCAAATTCACTGCCTCAAATAAGAGACGTTTCTTTCTTGCAGTGTGATATGGGGGTAAGTATATATGTCTCAATTTTTCCATCTTGGAAAACACTTTTCGATTTGGAATTTTAAGAAAGTCATAACTGCTACGTAAATCCAAAGTCTGCAAACATACCAAATTTGTTATAGATGATGGCACCGCTAGAATATCACTATCCTTAACACTTAAAAACATTAAGTGCACTAGATTCCCAATTTCACCCGGTAGCTTTCCAACAACCATACCTTCAAATTTCAAAACTCTAAGCAATGTGAAGCCCCTTAATAGTAATCGTAATACCTTTGAGTTCCAGTAGCAGTAGCGGTAGAAGTATGTTGAGACAAAATATAACAAAGACCTAACATGTCCATAATTTTCATCTCTCCCCGGACAATATACCTCAGACTTTTCATCCAAATAGATGGCAAGTCTTCGAACTCTACCATTTGGTGTTTGCTTGATCTCCACAGCTGCAGAATAATTGATAATATGGAGAAAGTTTTCCTCTTTTGCCTTTAGTCAATGTACTCACCGGTATTTCATAATCTTCCGGAAAATGGGCTAAATAGAGAAAACATAGTTTTAAGTAATAAGGTAAGTTATCGTAACTCAATTCCAATAACCATGATACCCCTTTATATCCTTCACCTTTGTAATCGGGTCCAAGGTCTGTGCCTCTCCTTATATATGCATAAACATTCTTATGCACCGTATTCCACTCATCAACTGTGTCTTTTCTAGCTAGAAGTCCTGCAAGCACCGTGATGGCTAGTGGCAAACCTTTGCAATGTTGAAGCATCTCTGTTCCTAGCTCTTTCTTATGTTCATAAATTTTATGGTCTGAGAAACAATATTAAGATCAGATACATGTGTTCAATTGACGAAAAGTATACAAAACAAATTATCTCATAAGTTTCTGATTTTTCTTTGGGCTACAACTTTGATTTATGTTGGCCCATTATGTGAGCCCTGATTTATTTGGATATTAAGTGAGAGATTCGTTGTTAGGTACACGTTCTTTCTATTGAAGAAAAGTAATTTCAGAGTATAGGTTTTGATTTGAGTATATTTTCTGAATATAAATATTGTGATAATAAAACTACTATCTTCATGTAGAGGCGTAGTGGTCTCAATTCATAGTGCAAAAATTCATAGTAGAATTTTCTTAAGAGTGACAAAGAAAAAGTTAGTTGACATGCTGAATTGATATACAAGAAAAGCATAGATAAAAGGTTTGTGTGAGAACATACTTGTATCTTCCGTTCTAGACATTGCTATCTTCTCAAACAGTTCCCAGCTTTCATCATCATTCAACGACTGTGGTTCGAAGAGGAAACCATTTTTGTCAGCATACAAAGCGACTTCTGTGTTGCGAGTACTGAGTAAAATTCGACTCTCAGTTTCCTCATTCATTGGAAATCCAGCTTGCAAAGAGCTCCAAGCATCACTGGTCCAAATGTCATCGAGCACCACCAAACATTTCCTTTCTCTTTGTGTATTCCAAAGCCTCTCTGCTATTTGATCAATCTTCAGTTTTGCAATTTCTTGTCTTTGCTCATTGGTAGGAGAAATGAGTTTTGTCAGAATTTCTTCCAAAATTTCCCGTGCTTGGCATTGTTGAGAGATACACACCCAAGCAAAAGAATTGAAATGACGCTTAACTTCACCATGATTATAAACTTGTTTTGCTAAAGTGGTTTTACCCAAGCCGGGCATCCCCCAAATAGAAACAACTCGGGGGCCTTTTTCTTTGATCAAATGCGTAGCCAATATCTCTGTTCCACGGGCTAACCCAACCACATGAGGGTCGACAATATGAGGATAAGCTATCCTCCGTTCCTGTTGCCTCTGGAAAAAAGTGTCACCTCCACTCTCCCTAGTTTGGTGTAGGTTTAAACTTGGCAAAATCGAACTCAACTGTGAAATTTTGGTTGTAATTTTCTCAATGTCTGAGCCAATCTGATGAAGATTAACTCCTTTTATGAAGATGCCAGTAAACCTTGTCAAAAGATTTGGTTTCCTCTTGGAAGCCACTTTTAAGGTAGTGTGAGCTACAACTAGAGCAAGAACCAGCACAATGCACCACCTTGCCATCTCTCTGTTTCTTCTCTCTCTGCTCTCTCTGCTCTCTCTTTGTTTTTGCAGTACTTGTGGTCTCTTTAGGTCGCTTGGTTTGTGGAGAAGGGTTTGAGGGTTTGCTTATAAAGGCAAAAACAGCGGTGGGGGGCAGTTGGGTGTAGTAAATAAGTTTAAATGCTGGCTTTGGTAGCTAGCTTTCTAAAGCTATCTAATATTTCCCAGGCTCATCACTTTTCATGATTTGCTTTAGCTAGAGCTTTCATTAGCTTAAGCCTAAAAGTGCTTTTTTAAAAAGTTCACAAGAAAATCAACAAACCACAATATATTTCGAACAAAAATCAGTTCCAATTGTTGTCAGCAAGACTAATGACATGCAATGAAGGCTAGCTCTAGCTGTTTGAATTTTCATCAAAACAGAGCAAACAGAGTAGCAGCTTCTACTCCAGCTTGTGACCGTGGATATATAATATTGCTGGTTCAGATTCAATCAGATGATGACACGTGTATATCTAATGCAAAGACAGCTAGCTGACTGACAAGGGCCAAGTGTGGACTGAATGCTATAAATAAATAAACAATTCATTGACCCCACATTCATCATATATATGGCTTGGGTTTAAAGTTAGACGAATGCATTGCCAGAACTCAGAGTACAGATTTTCTGTCAATTTTTACTTTATCTTCCTAACTGTTTTTGTATATTTTGAATTTCAACCATTAACCAAACATTCTAATTCATTTATTTCTAAAATCTTTTTTTTTTCTTTTTTTCACTTGGGAAGGATTAAGTGAATCTTAAACCAACCTCCACATTTTAAATTGATATTTCTTTAATCTGTTTTGCCTAAGTTAGGAAGAGGGAGTGGGAAAAATTCACACAAACGAATACCGTGGGGGTTTGCCTGGGACAACGTTCAGACTTCAAAGACTGCAATGGGGCCTGCATAGCCAAGCAGCATCCCAAGGGGGGCGCCTGTATGGGATTTGGAACTGAACCTCCGACTTGCTGCTGTAATACTAATGTTCAGGTTTTAATTTACAAATAAATTATTAGGTTCATCAAATTTACCCAATTGCATGCAACTCTGTAAGTTGTGACCTTCAAAATTTAGAACTAATAAACTTTGGGAACCTTTCTACAACTGGACTAGTACCATATCCACTATTCTAGAAGTTTTCTTTCAATTTGCTGCGTTTTTATTTATTTACAAGACATTTGATATTTGAGGGATCCCTCGATTGAAGGACATTATATATGGGGAGCTTCGATTCAGTTTAAATGGAAAATTTTATTTGCAACACAAACAAAAGTCATCTCAGAGTATGAAATTAATTGTTTGACAGAAATCCACTTAAAAAAAGAAAAGTACTACCAAATAGTTAAACACTGCATAAATTGTTTGGCTAAACACTAATTAAGTTGTAAGAAAACCACTGCCAAGTCTTGATCATCCAAAAGAGGCAGCTCTCTGCATAATGTCCTCATTCTGGATGATTGTTCTGTCCAGCCCCTTTTGTGATCCAGAAGAAATCACCACATCAAGCTTTTCTGGATCAGATAACAATGCAGTGCCCTTCAAGAAATAAACCATGATTAAGCAACCAGTCATTGAAAAAGAAAATAATGTCATATGATGTAGAGAGAGTAGAAATATAAACCTTGATCAAGCCTGATAAATTTTTTGAGTAGCTCTCAGGAGGAGCAGCAACAACTTTGGTGCAGGATTTTCCAACCCCACCTTTTTGTGATTTAGATGCAATCACCATATCAAGCTTTCCAGGACTAGATGAAGATGCAATGTCCTTTAAGAAATAAATGGTAAAGGAACTAGTCAATACAAAATTTAAATAAATAAAAAAGGATGCAATTTGAAGTAGCTAGCAGAGAATAAATATATATATATATATATATATATATATAGAAACCTTGGTCGAGCCTGAGAAATTTTTTGAACACCACTCAGGAGCAGTAGCAGCAGCCGCCACAGCCCTATGCGCACTGGTGCAGGCCATTTCACCCCTGCCTTCCTGCACCAGCATTGGGGAATACTTCATTAATTCCTATTCAGAATCATCTTCAGCTTCTCCAACATCGTAAACTTCCCCGTCTTCCTCAACTTCATCATCAGCAAACTCATCGAATGACCTCATATCGAGCTGGTACCGCAGAATTCCTCCAATCCCCCCGAAACCGCGACAGAACTGTGACCCCTCTTGTGATTTGTTGGTGACAAACTCAAGAGTACAACCAAAGCTCTTGTACTCATCAGCAAGCCACTCTAGCAGTGACATCTTCTCCTGAATCTCTAGTTGGTCGGAGGTGACAGGATCTCGAAAGTTGCTTTGATTGTTTTCCTCCTCCTCGTTCAACTGTTTAACAAAAATCTCCTCAGTCTTGGAGTTCTTTAACACATACCTATTGATCTCCAGATTTTCATACACAATGAGTATCTTAATAGCACCCATCTCCAAAGCTTTTAGTGTATCATCTACACCAACAACATACTTTCCTGTATCCTGGTTAACTTCCTCAAAGTATTTGCCTAACAAGTGCTGCTCCTGTATAAATTTCACATTGGACAGAATCTCTTGAGACATCTTAATAGCCTGATTAAAACCTTCCTCTCCTCCATAAGAAATATCCACAACTTTCAGTATTTTGGCCTGCAGACGAGGATCAAACCTACCTGACTCACTAAGCTTAGTTTTGAAGTCAGCTGATCCAGCCAGTATTAATCCTTTAACATTGGGCTGGTTGGTGGCTGGATCAATAAAAAGGTTTGTGGCAAGCTCTGCTGTCTTGGTAACATGGTTGTCGCGGGCCTCTTGTCCAATACGAGCAAATCGAGCAGCTGATTGCCCTCCTCTTGCATGTTTCTTTGGGAGGTGAACAAGATATCTGTGAAGCACCTCCCTCACATTACCACTCAACGTTCCAAACAGAGACTCCTTACCATCCATGATAATGAAACCAAATTTCTCATCAGATTCTAAGAGAACAGTCAGAGCTTCAATATGGAACTTGTTGTCACAGAGGTAAAGAGACACATTGATGGGCTTGGAAGGCTCAAAATCAATTGTGATCTTCTTTTCCTTGCCATCTTCGGTAACAATTGTTCCCGTATACAGAACAAGCCCATTAGGAGGAACCTTGTTGTAAAGCTTGAGCCGCTGCTGAGCAGATGCAATTGCTCCTTGAACAGATTGACGATTCACCCTGCTTTTGATGTTGGAAGCGGATCCTAATTCTTCACTGAGCATCTTCGCAACTTGAGGTATTTTATCGCGGGGAGGTACGATGAGAGAAATCATGCTGGTACCATTGCCCCTTGCAGCTTCAAGCCCCTTGATGAGCTTCTTAATTTTCCACAACTCAATGTTCTTATCTGGAGTCTCATGACGATCTTCCATTATGAGGATCAATTACAGCAACAACAGAAACAACGGTTGAGAAGCCTGTCCTGCAAATAACAACTTCAAGGCAAAACAATAACAGTTGGGAATGTTAACAATAAGAATGAAAGTCAAACAAAGAAGGCCAAATTTTCAGATATGTATTCTTCTCCAATATGGAGGTATTTATAAGGAAGTACAACCCTAAATAAAATAGGAAATAAATCTAAATTACAATAGAAAACAACCGTAAATTACAATAGGAAATAAATCTTAATTATAATAGGACTAGACAAACAAGTAAGTAACCAAAAATCCTAACATAGTACGGAACCAAAAATCTAAGTAAGTAAGGACTTGCTAACATTTTCTATGTGAAACTTCGATAGCTTTTCTGATATTCTTCTTCAGTAATTACAAAACAAGAACAAAAAGGCATGCAATTCACGGAAAGCGTTAGGCAAGCAGCCTGCATAAAACATGTAAGTAGTTTTGTTATCTACAAGTTGCAGGCATATTTGATCGCACAAATTCTTCTCTAAGTTTTTGCAATCTGAAAAGCTCAAATTGTCCTGTTAATAATAATTAACTTTATGATGGGTTAAGTTTTGGATTGGCAGTTTGAGATTAGATATGAAAACCTAGTTGACACAAAAAACAGAAGAAAAACCTCAAAACAAAAGAAAATATGACTAAGAAGGGGGAAGGAGTAACTCTAACTCACCTGATGGATGCTCTGCTCTGGTACCTCGCAAAGCTAAGAGAAGTCAAAGAAAACGAAGACCTAAGGCCTCTCTATCTTTATCTCTCTTTATATAGCAGGTGGTTTGATCCCGACGCGTTTAGGATTGCTTACTTGGGGTTCAAGTAATTCAAACGCGGGTTCAATCTTGACTGGATCACAACCCGATGGCCTCTTTTGGGCCTTAAAACACTTGAATTTGTTTTATCTTCTTAAAATAAAACTAAAGTTGCATACTGATAAGCTCAATTGCACTTTGTTTTTCGATACCAATGATAGTTTAAACCTTGCACCTCTTTTTTTAATATAGAACAAGCGATCATGTGTTTGATACACTTGAACTAAAACATCAGAAATGATAAGGGTCCCCATACCACAAGGATGTTTCAATTAAAGAAAGTGTAAACCGAGCAAGCCTATGTGAGAAGTTTGGAGAAAATAACAAGTATCTCCTTATAGTTTTCTTCTCCTTTATTATTACTTTGTACTTGTTCATTTGAGTGCTAAGCATAATCAAAATTCCAACACACTCTGACAACGACTCCACCACCTCCTAATCCATTATATATACTTACGGAATGAGCCATCCTTAAAATGTTAATTTGTTTCCACCAAGTAATCCAAATTCCACAGCAACGTATCTTTTGTATGACTGAAAAATCAATTGCATGATAAAAATGTTGAGCAAGATCAACGGCAAATCCTTACCATTTATATATAGTTATTTTCTTATCTGGATGTCCACACGTTATTATCATGCGGATGCCATTGTAAACAAGCTAGAAAGCATGGAGGAGTAATACAAAATACATGGCGTACGTATTGTCAGAGATTCACTTAGGTTTGAAATTGGATCATCTGTATTCAAATAGAACTAAAG